TTCCTTCTCAGTTTCAGGATCCTGAAGTCAGTGCCAGAAGGGCCAGGCCCTTAGCAACTTTATTCTGACTCCTCACTTTCTGGGGGAGGAAAGCCGGAAGCAGAGAGCTGCAGGGCCCTCCTGACCTCCAGCGCAGCACGTCGGCACCACTGAGGGCCCGGTTCCTCAGACGCCCAGGGGGCAAAAGCCTTACCTGCAGAAAGGGCTCCTTTTCCTGCGGGCGGCCGAGAGGTGCATGCTTAGTGAGGTCTTGTCCAATCAGGCCCGTCCAGACAGGAGTTTCTGCAAAGCAGGAAGGCTTCCTACTTGATAAGTGTCTGCACCCACCCCCACCCCCCATCCCCCACCCCCAGCTGGGCAGGGCTCCCACAGAGCAGGGCAGAGGCGGTGGGCAGGCCTGCGGTCACAGCACTCCCTGGAGTCCCGGAGCCTGGGGATAGGGGACGCTTTCACTTTCCATGACCTCCCGAGGCCAGAGCAGGTGCCAGCACCTGGGCGTCCAACAGGTGAAGCCCCAGTCAAGGCCTTTCCTGATTCGTGCTCCCCGCCCCACTGTCCCACCCAGGCCCAGGCCCCCCTCTTCCACAGTCAACGCCTGTTATGGCTGAATTGTGACCCCCCTAACCCCCCATTTCATATGTTGAAGTCCTAACCCCAATACATCAGACTGTGACTGTACCTGGAGTAGGGTCTTCAAGAGGTAAGTACGTTAAAATGAGGTCACATGGGTAGGCCCTCATCCAACATGACCAGCATCTTTATAAGAAAGAGGAGGTTGGAGACTGGGCACAGACTTACGCAGAGGAAGGCCTGTGAAGACACAGGGGGAAGGCGGCCATAACCAGCCACAGAGAGAGGTCTCGGAGGAAACCCACCCTGCTAACACCTTGACCTTGGACTGCCGGCTGTTGTTTAAGCCCCAGCCTGTGGTATTTGTTGTGGCAGCAGGAGTAACTCCCATCATCAGAATGTCACCCATTTTCGCACCTGGCCTTGGCCCAGGCTGACCCCTCACCGCACTTGGGTGCCTTTCCCCTGCCCTCTGACGAGCTCCACCTCCGGGCCTCGCTAACCGGGGGATGATATTTCCCTTGAAGATCCCTGAGTTGGCTGATTGCTGTGACACTCTGACGCTGTGCCTGTGTGCTAATCTCTGTGATGCCACGTGTTGGCTTATGTCCTGCAGGGTCCTCCCTCCCTCCCCAGACTTGGACCCAGAAGCTGCACCTGACTCATCTCCACGTCCCAGCATGAGCGACAGACGGCCTGATAAACTGTCTGCTCCCGTGAATTGCATCGAGCAGTCTGCTGAGTGCCTCGGCTTAGCCCTGTCAGGGTCCCCGGCCCGCGCACCCCTAGCTTGTCCTTCCGTGCCTCTGCCCTGCTCACTCCAGGAAAGCTAAGAAAGGCTTCAAGGTCCGAAAAATTAGCACTGCCTAAGAGACTGTGCATGCCAAGCAGAAGCCCAGGGAAGGCAACACATAAGCCGAAGATGTGGGTAGTGAGTGATGGCTGCCAGGGGCTGAAATGGCTCCTTCTCGGGTTGGTGAGAGCAGCCCTGACCTGTCTGTGCATCCGAGGGTGTGCGTGTGAGTGTGAGTTTGCGTGTGCGTGTGCGTGTGCATGTATGTGCGTGTGTGTGCGTGTGCGTGTGCATGTGTGTGTCCAGGGAAGGCAACACATAAGCCGAAGATGTGGGTAGTGAGTGATGGCTGCCAGGGGCTGAAATGGCTCCTTCTCGGGTTGGTGAGAGCAGCCCTGACCTGTCTGTGCATCCGAGGGTGTGCGTGTGAGTGTGAGTTTGCGTGTGCGTGTGCGTGTGCATGTATGTGCGTGTGTGTGCGTGTGCGTGTGCATGTGTGTGTGGTGTGTGTGCGTGCGTGTGCGTGTGCATGTATGTGCGTGTGTGTGCATATGTGTGCGTGCGTGTGCGTGTGCATGTGTGTGTGTGTGTGTGTGTGTGTGTGTGTTGGGACGGGGCATGCATGAGTGCAGCTAGGGGTGGGAAGGACCCCACACTCACCTGTGTAGGGCAGCGGGTGTAGAGGCTCTGGTACCCTGAAGAGAGCACAGCGTGTGGAGCTCAGACAGACTTGGGGCTTGAAGTGCAGCTCCTGTGCTGCCAGCCGATCACTGAGCCGGACACAGACGCCAGAGGGCCCGCATAGCTCCTGGCCTGTGGTGGGTGCCCTTGGCCCATGGATGCGTCCTCCTCTGCACAACGGCCTTGCCCAGCGCTGAGCCTGCAGCATGGAAGGCATCCTCTCCAGGGCCAGGCTGGCAGGGGTTAATGAGAGAAAGGCTGGTTGTTCCTGAAAACAGAAGGCTGGGTCGATAGCGCTACAGAGCCAGCATCGATCAGCCAGGGCAAAGGCCCTGCGGGGAGCCGCCAGCAGCTTCTCCGAAACGCCCAGAACAGAGCAATCCGGGAAGGCCAGGCCGACGGAAAGGCCCTGGGCGAGTCCGCCCTGGGGTCAACCTCCTCGGAGCACAGGGCTCCCTGCCCCACCCCAGGACACCCGCGGATCCCACTCCAACCTCGGGTGTGAGAGCTGGAAGGGACCTGGGCTTCCTCCTCTCGGTTCTTCCCCTGAGGCCCGTGTCAACAACTCAGCCTTCTGTGAGCTGTGAGGGGAAAATGTTCACGAATCTGTGGCTGGAATTCAGCTTTTCTTTCTATTAGGAGCACAAGCATCAACTACGGTGGAATGAGGAGTCCCTAAGGCCTTGTCACTAAGAATAATGGCCGGTGTTGTCCTGTCTCATTGCAGGCATAGAATTCTCGAAACATTAACATGCCTACCTCAAAACGCCGTGGTGGCTAGACCTACACCACATCTTGTTTAATGCCTTAATAAATGAACACATCACAGTGTCAGGGCGGGGCGGGGGGGTTCTATTTGACAAGTTATTCTACCATTTGATTTTACCAGCCTGCCCAAAGGGTCCATGATACAAAAAGGGTTAAACCTTCCTGTTCTGCGTCAGCACCCATGGCAGGTGGGGGCACTACGGCCCAGAGCAGGCAGTGCTTTCCCTGGGTGGGGGGCTGGGGGAAACGTGAAAAATAGCATTTTGAGCCCGGCCAGTGTGGCTCAATGGCAGAGCATCGAGCTATGAACCAGGAGATCACAGTTCAGTTCCCCATCAGGGCACATGCCCAGGTTGTGGGCTCAATACCCAGTAGGGGGCATGCAGCCAATCATGTTTCTCTCCCATTGATGTTTCTGTCCCTCTCCCTACCTCTCTCTAAAATCAATAAAACTACATATTTTTTAAAATAGCATAATAGTAACAATAATGATAACCCTCATTGACTGCCTACCCCGAGTCAAGCATCATTTTAAGTAATTTCATCTTCACAACAGCCCTGAGAAGAAGATAAGGTCACTGTCCCTATTGAACAGGTAAGCTAAGGCGCAGAGATGTGAAGTAACTTACCCAAGGCCACACAGCTCATAAATGGAAGAGCTGATTCAAACCTCCGAGCCTACATGCTGAACCTCCCTTCTCTCTGACCGCTCCTAACCAGTCCGGGGAAGCACGGGAAGTGCTGAGCTCTGGGATCACACACCCAGGTTTGAATTACGGCTCTGCCTCTCGCAAGCCGTGTGACTCTGGGCGACGCTCTCCACTTCCACACATCAGATTTCTCACCCACATCGCGAGGAGAGCAGCCGCATCTCCATCCTTGGTCTGCGTGGATGACTAACACATGGGGAGCGCTCTGCACAGTGCTGGCATGGAGTGACTGCTCGATGAAACCAAGGGGCAGACCTGTTGACAATGGTAATATGCGCCTGTGTGCTAAAACCTCCAGAAATTACAAAAGTAAAAGTGTTGAGGTTAATACCCAGATCCCAGTTCTCGGCAAGATCGATAAGTGCCAAGAATCAGCAAGCGCCCATGGAATTCTGCTTTCGTTTTCAGGGAGAAGGGGAAAGGCTGAAGCTGGAAGCAAATCTATGAAAATGCCAGTCAGTGACTTCCTTCCAAAGAGGACAGTGCGGAAGGGGAAAGAGTAACACAACAGGAGTCACCGGCCAAGGAGTCGGCGTCCTTGGCCAGCTGCTCCAGGTTAAATGAACGGCGAGAAGGCATATTGATAGCATGTACCTTTGATAAAAGAATGGCACTTTACTTCTACCTCCTGAAAACCCATAACCCCTGTCTAATCCAAGAAAAACATCACACTCACATTGAAGGACATTCTACAAAATACCAGATCAGTACTCCTCAAAACTGTCAAAGTCACCAAAAACAAGGAAAATGTCAGAGAAAATGTCAGCCTGGAGGAGCCTAAGGAGACTTGATGACTAAATGTAACATGGGATCCTGAATGCGATCCTAGAAAAGGGATGTTGGGTGAAAAAAATAGAAGAAAGGTGAGACTGAAGAATGGACTGTAATGAATATTAACGTGTTGCCCAGCCGGTGTGGCCCAGCTGTTGAGTGTAGACCTATGAACCAAGAGGCGACGGTTCAATTCCTGGTCAGGGCACATGCCTGGGTTGCAGGCTCAATCCCCAGTAGGGGGCGTGCAGGAGTAGCCGATCAATGATTCTCATCATTGGTGTTTCTTTCTCCCCATCCCCTTTCCTCTCTGAAATAAAAATATATTAAAAATACATATATTAACAGGTTAATATTGCTTCATGAGTTGTGACAATATAGCATACTATGTACGATAGTAACATTCATGGCTGTGGGCTTAGGGTAACGCTTCCAACTATTTTTACAACTTTTCTGTACATCTAAATCTCTCCTAAAATAAAAAAAAAGTATTCTTTAAAAAAACGTTACAGTATATCTAAATGGTGGTTACAGGCAATTTTTTTTCTTTTTTTTCTGTAAGAGAACATGTATTGGGTAAATTGCAGCAGTAGACGTGATTCCTAGAAGAAA